GCTGTGTTTTTGAGTTCTCCAGCACCAAATCCATATCCTTCCTAAAGACCACAACCTATACAACATGAGTATTTTGTCTGCATAACCTTAAAATTTTCTGTAATGCATTGCTAAAGTTGAGAACTTATGGATTCCTCTGGAAAAGTATATGAAGAAGATGGTAACCTTCGTGCAATTAGTTAACCACAGAACTCTAAACATTAGATATTGCACTGGTGTGCAGTGTGCACACAAAATCCCAAGACAAATCAAAATTACTAGCTATCAAGTACTGTTGGATTTTCTTCGTACTGAATGTGATAAGAAGCAACGCCTTCAGCTTCTCATATAACTTTGTTGAGTTTCACGTATATCTGTGAGATAATTTACTTTCTTTCTTAACTAGGAACATCTCTCGATTTACATTTTATGCTTAATTAAGGCTATTCTTGCTTGAATACAGCTCTTTCACGTCTCCATTAGTCCTTCGCAATATCTAAATGAATTGCCACATCCTGAAGCATTCGACTCCGTAACAGTAAAATTTGTCTCAAACTATAAGCTTTTTGAATGTCTTTCACTCCTCAACCATCAAAAGGATCCTTGTTCAAATGACTCTTATCCATCTAGTCACGTAAATTTATTTCCAATATCTATCTCCATCTGTGCAGTGGAAGTGCAATGTTGGTGTCCAATTTTGGGGCCTACTAATATGTATTCTCCATATAAATCATGCTCCACAAACAATAAATTTGGTTACTTAACAATTTAATTTTCTTTTCAAAATGCATCATGTGATATGTTTAGGCAACTATACCCCTATTTTGAAAACTAATTTCCTCCGAACCACTATCTTCATCTTAAGCTATTTAACCTATACACATATACACCTAACCTTCAATTCTAGTGCTATTCAACCAAATTAAACTCAAAACCAAACTCTTCTTACCACAAATTTGTTACAATTAATCATAAATTAACAATATTAATCACAGCAAAAGCCGTAAACTTTAACCTAAAGTACTAGCTATTCTATTGATATTTTTGGGGAAAATGGAAAGTAAATCCTAGATTACAAACAATATTAAAATGAGTAACAAAAATAAATAGATAAACTTACCTTTATACAAGCAATCATGAGGCAGATCTCCTTTGCACCACCTATAATCCTTGTGATTCCAACAGTGAACCTTTTCTGGGGTTTCCAAATTAATTTATTAGGGGATTTTAGAGTTAGGTAATAGGAATAAAGATAAAGAAAAGAGAAAGGACAATGTGGGATTTCTCATCAATTTATGGGAAACAGAGTAGGGTTGTCCATCCGGGCCGGGTCGGCCCAGCCCGGCCTGGAAAAGCGGGCCCGGGCCTGGCAAAACCGAAGCCCGGACCCGGGCCCAGTTAGCCCGGGCCTGAGCGGGCCGGGCTCCAGGTCGGCCCGGTTTTTTTTTAAATTTTTAAAAATCCCCATAAATCATAAAATATACATAAAAATTACAGAAAATGACATAATTTTTTTAATAATTTGAAATGACATAAATTACAAGTATAAAAAATTATAAAAATAAAAGATGATAAAAATAACTTCTTTATTAATAATCCGTAAATCCTTTACAAGTATAAATTTATTTCGAAATTCGTCGCATCACAATAGATGAGTACATCCCAATTAGGTTGGCACCTACTCACCTATATCACTATCATTTGTAACTTTTTTCGAAATAATTCATTACAAATTTAAAGCTAAGAAATAAAAATTATAATTTAATGAATATTATCTAATCTTTATACCTATCTGCTAGTCCTAACTCTTTAAATTTATCTTCAATTACAACCATCCGATCGATGTCTTGCGTTCTCTTCTCGTACCTCCACCAATCTTGTAAGCACATCACCGCTTGTACAGTATACGGATCTAAGTATGTCATGTGGTCATCGATCAAACGCCCTGCTGTGTTGAAGGCGGATTCCGAAGTTACCGTCGAAACCTGCATTGTTAGTAAGTCACGAACCATGGTAGAAAGTATAGGACATAAAACTGATCCTTATATTCTTCACCATTGCAAAATATCTAAAGCATTTTTTTGACATTTAACTAAGGAAACAGATAAATATTTATCTATTTTAGAAACCTCTAATGTTGATCCAGATCCAGATCCACCAGTTAGTTCAGCTACCATTGCATACCTATCAAAACTTGCACTTTTACCTCGGCCTATGCTCGAAGACGTCGAAGCTGTAGACTGTTGTGTAGCTACACCATGTCTAGCTGCATACTCATCATATAATGTTTGAAAATAATTTCTAATAGTTAAATGATAAAAAATAACAGTAAGGGTGGATCCATCATCTAAGTCTATAATTTATCCATCATATAATGAATGTAACAAACTTCGAAGGTCAATATCCTTCAAACATAGATCAATAAGAACCCCCAAATCAAAAATATGAGGAATAGGTCTAAAATACTTATTAAATTTATTCTCCATTTGAAAAATTACAGCTCCAAAAGTATCATCCATACGATATTTGGCAAAAAAAATTTGAATATTTAAAATTTGTAAAGCAGCTAAAGTAATTGTTGAATAATAACAGCTAGATAATAACATTATAGCATCATAAAAAAACATGTAACATCTCATTTAAATTACATATAATTGTTCATTTAAATTACATATAATTGTTCATTCATCTTCAGATATTCCATAAGTACTACCAGAGCTAGAACTAGAAGCATAAAAATTTATAAAATCATTTATAATTTCTTTATATTCTATTGCTATACTTAACATTGTATAGGTGGAATTCCACCTATGGTCAACATCTTTTGGAATTAGTCTGGGCTTATAATTTTTTTCTTTTACATCATTGTTTCCATCTTTTAATTCTCATTTCAGAAGCATTATGCATATTAGCAATTGTTCTAACATTTTCTATCATGGGTTTAATTTCAAAAAATACACTTTGAACAATTAAATTTAAAAAATGATAGATACATCTAACATGAAAAAGTTCACCATGATATGGTAATGACAGAGTTATTTTGATAAAATCAACAGCTATATTGTTATTACTTGTATTATTTAGTGAAAGAGAAAATATTTTTTGATCAATTTCTAGTTTCATAAGTTCTTTAATTATTAAATTTGTAATATTAATAACAGTATGTGATTCTTTAATTGTAATAAAAAAATAACTTTTTTAAACATTTGCCAATTTTTATCAATCCAGTGTGCTGTGATACATAAATAACCAGTTTGCACTCTAGATGTCCAAATATCAGAAGTTAAAAAAATTACAGTTTAAATTTTTAAAATAAGAAATCATTTTTTCTTTTTCCTCCTAAAAATATTTTAAAATATCACGTTGACAGGTTTGACGAGAAAATTTTGTAAATGCGGGATAAAAACCATCTCTAAACAAATCTTCAAATTCATCATCTTCTACTAATTTAAAAGAAAGATTTTTAAGAACGATAAACCTGATTACGCATTTTCTGACTCGGACAGCGTCATAATTCTAACTACCGAGACTACCAGAAGAGGAGGATTGAGAAATCATAGATTTTCGGATATCACCTTAAAGATTTTGACCTTTGTTGTATTTTTCTATATGGCGTTTGAGGTGGTTGATACCGCTCTTATGATGAGCTTAGAAAGTCTGGCCGCACAACGCACATTTAGCCTTCTGGGTGATGATCCTACCGTGTTCATCATTGGTGACTCTATCTTCTCAAAAAATTTTACACATCGGATCTCGGTCTTTTAGGAGCTCTCGGTGCAGATTCGTCGCCACCAGATTCAGGATTAACACCGGTAGGAGGAGTAATTGTTGTAGGACTCATTTCTGGATCGGTAGGAGATAGGTGTTGCTCTTCATAATCAGATCCAGAAGCCATTTGATAGAAGTATTAGAAAATATAAGAGATTTTAAGATAGTATAAGAGAGTATAAGATTGTATAAGAGAGTATTAGAGAGAAATAGATGAGTTTTGGTGTGAGGAGAAGAAGTGAAAACCTCCCTCTATTTATAGAGACAGCCTCCTAGACAAATGACCAAAAAACCCTCATATTCTAGCCATTTTTTTACCGTTTTTAGGGGCAAAATGGTCAAAACCCATATTTGGCCATTATGACCGGGCCGGGTCGGGCAGCCCGGCCCGGTCCGACCAAAACGGTCATCTTTGATCGGGCTGGCCCGGTCCGGTCAATTCTGCCCAACGGTGACCAGAGGTGACCGTTGGTGTCGGCCCGACCCGGCATTTTCCAGCAACGGTCACCTCTGGTGATCGTTGTGGTCGGGTCCGGGCCCGGGCCGCCCGGTCCGGTTGGTGCCCCAACCGGCACTGTTCCGGGTCCGGACCGGGTGCGTTTTCGAGGGCCCGGATCTGGCCCGGGTGTCCGGGCAAAACCCAGGTCGGGCCGGGTTCCGGCCCGATCGGGCCCGGGCCGGGCACCGGGTTGGGCCGCGGGCTTTTTGGACAGCCCTAAAACAGAGTATATAGGAACGAAGGTGAATAAGAAGTAAATTAATTTGGGGGGAGAAATTAACATCTAATCATATTGGTATTTCATTGCCGGGCCGCGGGCTTTTTGGACAGCCCTAAAACAGAGTATATGGGAACGAAGGTGAATAAGAAGTAAATTAATTTGGGGGGAGAAATTAACATCTAATCATATTGGTATTTCATTCTTTTTTACCCCTTTTCCATTAACTCGATGTGAATAACTCCATCTTAGAAACTTTTGGGTATCATTTGGACAAATTTAAACTTCAAGACGTCAACTTAACCATAAGAGAAACTAGGGTGTTAAAGTATAATTAACCCTTTTTCTTTTAATTGAATAAAATGAATCTCGCCGATAAGAAAAGAGCCAAAGTGTTTTCTCTAAATATTACAAGCATGCTCCATACACTATAGTTACTCTTGTTAATAACATTGTGAATGTTGAACAAGTATCATTGCCAAGTTACAAGTTATATTCTGCATATACTGACTACTTGTTCATTGTGTCATAACCCAGATTTACATCATAAAAGCAATTTCACAGGAGACATGCGAAGAATTTGATCACAGGATTACTGGTTGATATGTTGATGATATTGGAAAATTGACAAATGCCAATAGTCATGAAGATCAAGATGTATAATTTATGCTTACCTATATGAAAGTTTTCTTAAGTTGGTTCTTTTCTCAAATCATTTTTGTAAATATATATAAGAGTTATTATCTACTAAAGTGAAGATGTTTCTGAAGATATCGCAAATATAGTTAGGCCCATCCCTTTTCTTCAAAGTTCTTCTCAAAGACTTGATCATGTACAGTGTGATGCATAGTTATCTAATTTTATAGAACTTTATTTTATTTTGTGGTTACCTAATAATAAAATTTTAGGAAAGACGCAGATGTATGTTTGGTTCCTTGTGGAATTTGAAATCTGACTGTAATAGTGAGAATGTTAAAGTCATTAACAGATTGAAATATATATGTAGAGAAGTCCAAAGATCCATCTTATACTGGTAACGTTTATCATGTCTAGAATTACATTTTGAAGCGCAGATAACCTCCTCAGCCAATATAAAAGAGTTAAGTAATAACAAGGACTACTGGATATATGGATTATAGATGAGGGATTATCTACAATTTATCCTTGATCTTTTTTATTATTAATGCATGTTCTATGACTTTGTAATAGTCATTTTTCTACTTCAATTCAATTTTAATACTGGTGAAAGAAAGTTGCTCGTTATACTATCGGATCTGGGCGGCTAGGACTGCAGACTTATCAGATATGTTAGTCTTGTTAACATAATAATGCATATTCCCTTCCAAAATTCTATCTTCATAATCTTATAATAGGTAGCATATTCTCTCCTTTATTTTCTACCTATATTAGGGCTTTCCATAGTAAGTCTCCACCTTGTATAAATATATGTATCATGCTCATCAATAATATCAAGCCTTCTTCTATGCTTATCATGGTATCACAGCCACCTCTTGATCCCAGAGAGCCTCGAGATAACACTCTGCCTTAAAACAATCCCACATTTGCCTGGAAATCAACCCACCGCAAGCCTCAATGGCTCCCGCCTGCAAGCAGAGCCAACCCTCCTCACCAACACATCACCCCTCATCACACTCACTGCTACCCTCTCAAATTGGAACAGATCTGATCAGCTAAAAAAAACAACCACTCGCGAACTCAACAGACTTAACTTCCACCATGCATCCTCTATGCACGCTCTCAACAGAGGATAGCCTCCACCTCGTGTCTTCTGTCTACGCCCTCAGTGGACAGTCTCCACCCCGCGTCTGTTTACACCCTTAATGAACAAACTACACATTGTGCTGTGCCCTCATCTGACAGCCCCCACCCTGCCACCTACAACTTTAGCCACTGATGTGCTATAACTCGATCAAGCAGCTCTCGCCAAGCTATGCCAACAACCATCTATGCAATTTGGCTCATCTTATACAAACTCTTGGTTCTCGACCCACGCCCAAAACAACCTCCTCTTTCCTCCTCCTCCTCCTCATCCACCCCATCTCCGCCCTTCTCCTACTCCTCCGTCTCATTTCCGCCCTCCTACTCCTTCACCCATACTCATTCCTCCATCTACCCTCCTCTCTCCTCCGTGTCCTTTCACGTAAAAAGTAAGTGTGCATAAATATATGATTGGGTCTTGCCATGATGGTTTTTCCATAGTAAATACCGATTATGATCAAACAGAAAATAGAACAGCTATTTATCTCCAATACATAAAAACTGTGTTTTCATAAATGTATACAGTTATTTGTGCTGTTAAACATCCATGTGTTTATGTCAGGAGATTCCAAGGTGGTTAGAAAGCAACATCGGCCAAGAAGAATGCAACATCAGCTACGAAGACACAAAAAACTAACTAAAATGAAGAATTCATAAGCATTAATATCTGGAAACTTGCACAAGAATCACAAGATTCATACAATTGTATTGTATTCCTCCAACAAAAAACACAGATGTCAACAAATTGAATACACTATGGTCAAAATTACATCAACCGATTATGTATAACATTAATGAATAACAATCAAATCCTTCTATAATTGACCGTATTCACAAAAGAATCTCCTCTTAAGCGCATCTTTCTTCTTTCTGAGAAATGAAATTAGAACTTGCGGATTAAGCATAGATTTGTCTTAAGACTTGATCCCATTGTACAGTAAGAATAGTATATATCTTTTTTCTCACTGTAGCAGCCAAGTTAAGCCAACAATCCAAGGACTTGGCTGCAGCAATTCCTTCAACCTCCAGTTTTCAAGTACGATGATGATATTCAACCTCTTCACTGTACAGGCCCTGAAAAGCTACGATTCTATTTCTTCAGTAGATAACTATTGTTTGAATCAAAATAATGGCATATTTGATAATGTATGATAAATATGAGTGAAAAATAACACCTACAGCTACTGGAAAGAATTTCTATATACCCGAACTGGTTCAGTGCATGTATCAGAGTCCCATGAAATGGGATGCGAGGAGAAAACCATGGCCTTTTGGAAGCCTTTCTATTTTGGTCTATGTTTTTTTTCACAAATACAACCTGGAAGAGGATTGGCATAAAAACTCTCTTCCAGCTTTGGAAATTCTCCAGGCTCTCTAAAATATGGACTGCCATTTCTGTCCCTGTGTAGTTTTTTCACCTTTGAACTGAATTTCTTCCAAGAGATATTCCCTCCATCTACCTCATCAACAAGTTTTACAAAATTTAACCTGCAGGAGATGCAAGTGAATTCAGTTCGAGTACAAAATCAAAAGGACTAAAACCCTAAACCATCAGCAAGTTCAATATATGAACCAGGGTGGTGATATTCATCACCATGTACACATTGTACATAAATCTTCTCTTCCATTCACGTACTCCTTGATTATTGAATGTTAAGAGGAACTTACTGAAAACTTATCAGTGGGTTCCTCCTCATTCCATTTCCAGAATGGAAATAATATTTTCCACCAATAGGTGTAGTCAAATATTTGTTAGTGTGAATTTAAAGATATATGTCTAGAAAATTTCCAAGAACATAGCAAAATTAATTGTATATTTTACCACATAGAACATATTTAGCTTAGTTAAACTGTCGTGTGTAAACTTCAAATATTGGGTAACTAGATTTTCATATTCAACCTTAAAACTTCAACTGCTAATGAAGGACGAACATTATGCAAATGATTCACAATTCATGATGAAACTACAAAGCGATCTCATCTTACTGACATTTTACAGTAATTTACTGCTTATCCAATACTCAATCCAAAATTAACCAAATTATCAGATAAAGAAAATAAAACAAGACAGGAATTAGTATGTATGTTACCTGTCAGGACTTATGGTTTTTCTGAAGTTCTCAAAGCGCCTGTGTCCATGCACGGCCTTTGCCATATTTCCATCATATGTATAAATAAAAACATCACTCTGAAGAGCAACAACATAATCCAATCCAGCAAGCATGTTCTGATGATTTTTGAAAGGACTGAGTTCTTCTTCTGTAGACAAAGTTGAATGCGAGTAGATATTGGGGAAGTCATCAGTCAGATATCGCATACTTCCATTTCCAAAGGCTTCACCAGCCACCAAGTATATTCTTGTGCTTGATGGAAACCCTAATCCTTTAAGAAGAAGGGAAGTTTCTCTTGGAGTCAAAGGACAACCTCCAAGGTTCCTCCTCTCGACTCCATCAATCTCTTTTTCCTTCCAATGGTTGACTTCATAGCGCATTTGACGCAATTCTTCGGCTTCTTCAAATGTCAAATTATGATTGCAGCCTGTGAAGGCAAGCATGTCCTTTTCATATCTGCAATACCGGGAAGATAGAAATTAAGATGTGCATATTGAGGAAATGTTAAATATAGACAGCAGTGTGGTAGCTAATTCCTCCATTTATTTATGCACAAGGGTCTGACTCCAATCATTTGTTTATAAGAGTCCGATTAGATACTTGGGGAAGCAATCATAGGAATTAAACTTTCTATTTGCTTCTCTTTCCGCTGTATATTTTCATAAAGAACACAAAATGCTCATAAAAGAACAAAATGCAGACGGCAATAGGAAGGGCACGTCCTTTTCTACATTAGATCTCTTGCTAGATTCAAGCTTTTGATGCATTCCTAGTGTTGTAGTTAATTGCATAAAACCATGGAGATTCTACTGTATCACAACCTAGCCAGATTTATAGCCACAGGTGGTATTTTTCTTATAGAATGTTCCGGTTGCTAAGTTGAAATTTCAAAACGACAGAAACAGACTCAAAGGTAAGAGCAAGGTTCCCTGTCAAAGCAAGAAGCTAATATCGACACTGATTCAATTCAGTATTTAGCTCACTTTTAAGTCCAAAATTGAGCGGGGGAGGGGCCATTCTGCTTAAGTGCCACTTTTTGAGACTGCTATATATCTATAGCTGAATAATCCCTACACAGACAATTTAGCAAACAAAGTGTTGGAATACTAAGGAAGAAAAGCTGTTACTTTCATGGTGTTTGCATCTATAGCTTTTCACAAAAAAATTTGTTTCGTTTGAAAATTATCGTGTTCGTTTTGCATCTTTTGTTTACCCATTCCCACTTACTAGTCTGTTGTCCGTGCAAAGCACGGGTTTTTGCTACAGTAATCCCTCTTTTTTAACATGCCTGCTTTGAATTTTCTGGGAATGCTACAGTATCTCGTTTGCTACAGTATCATTTTGAAATGCTACAGTATACCCATGTGCTACAGTCATATTTTTGATTATTTATCTGCTACAGTAAATATACTGTATTATTTACTGTAGTATGACCAGTGAGTCTCTGGTTTTCCCTTTTGTATAAAGGAATAGATATCTTGACAAAGATAAAGTTGGGAACTTTGGATCGAAACCCCTGGTGACACTCTTCTCTTGCTGAGACCCATAAGAAAACAACATTCCTAGATCACATAGACTATCATTCAAGCCCAACAAAAGTCTTAAATGTTTGAAAACTGTTAGTTGGACACTCCAACTAGGAAAAGATTTTTCCATCCCCAGGCATGTGCACATAACACCGCAATTGGACACCCGGCCATCACGACTCAAACATGGCACACATGAAAAAAATGAGCGTTGGTTATCATCTATGATATGTAAGACAATTCCCCAAAAATAAGGTCTGTTCAACATATCAGGGTCATCACCTCACAAAACAAAACATATCAGGGTCATCAGGTTCATCCATGTTCAACGGTTAGAGAAGTGTAAAGTGCTATTTACCTCAAATATCATAGAGAAGTTTGAGAATGTTGAACTCCTTCGGGAAAGAAACTACTTATTTTGAGACCATTTTACTAGAATTAGTTTTTTTTCATACACGAATAGTAAGAAATGCACATATCTAAATTACGAGATGAAACATACAAAATAACCATCTTCGTGCCTACATTCTAAACCATTATTGCGTGCAATACATCGAGTCCTTGCCAAAGCACAATACTCAAGTCCTTGCCCACTAATCATAGATTATCATGATATCAAAATAATTAAAATGGCTACAACTTAGAAATCATTCATAAGTAAGAACAAGGGGAAAGAAGAAATATTAGTTTTTTTCTTTTTTACTCTCACAATATGCAAGTCCATATCTTCCATTACAAAAGTAAAAAAAAAAGCCCATATCATGCTTTTAACTATGCCAAAGTCTGATAGGTATATGTGTAGTTTTGAAGCAAAATTATTGTTTCTCTAAATATGAAAAACACTCAACCCACCTGACCACTGACCTAGACACACTGTGTTCCATATCCTACTCACTGGAAGCATAGGGGAACTGCTACTAATATCTCAGTAATATCTAACCACTGAAATAGGTGAACTGCTATTAATATCTAAGTAATATCTAACCACTGAAATCATATAGCACAATCATTTGAGTTAAAATATTTAAAGTCTATTGTGTTTCAGAAAAATCCTTTAACAATATCATCCAAGTTAAAATATTATTCGCACTCACTAGTATAGTCTCTTACTCTCTCTCTGGTCTCTCTCTCTCCTCTCTCTCTCTCTCTCTCTCTCTCTTATATACTATATATATATACTACTATATATATTAGTTATATATATATATATATAGTATATAGTATACTAGAGAGCAGAGATTTAGAGAATGGCCGTATGTTTGCGCCTACCAAACACATAAAACAGTTTGTGCCTGCGTAGTGCATGTCTGCATTAATCCCCTCCACTCATTCAAATGCGTGTGCATATTCCACGATGCACTCCTCAACCCATGCTTGCAATGCTGGTCCCCCATTTGAATGACGTGCGAGGCCCGCCGATTCGTGGCCCCACCTCGACTACCAAGCAATACCCATCCTACCCAAGCATTACCCACCTCACAAATATTTATGCTTCCTCTAGCGTTACCAAGCATACCCTATACCAAGCCCATACCCCACCTCACCAAAAAATTTTATGCTTGCCGCTACCACGTCATTACCCATATTTCTCATATATATATATATTATATATTACTATATATAATATACTCATATTACTATATATACTATAGTAATATATATTGTGTGTGTGTGTGTGTCTGGCCGCGGATGTGTGTTGGCTCCTCTGTGACTGTGCTGTGGGGGTGTGCGAGTCCTGGATATGGCTTTATGAGTGAGAATTAAACCGAAATTAGTGTTGTTATTGCAGATAATGGCGGAAACTGCTCCACAGCTTGTTTTGATGTATAATGTCCACAGGAGGGTTTTACTTTATCGCGTTGCTCCTCTTGGCCTTAAGTTGTTCCACCAAATTGGATGAGCAGTGTGGCATCATGAGAATTCTTTACATGCTAGTGCAGCCTTACTCAGTAACAGTTCTTTTTTCTATTTTTCTTTCTTTTGGAAGCAAAGGAGTTTTTGTTGCAAACCAACTGATTAGAGCTCAAACCCCACAAGAAGGTTTGATGGATTTCTCCGTAACATCATGCTGTAGAGTATGAGCAACAAGAAAACATTTGAAAGCCTATTGGACAGCCCGGCAGGGTACACCCGGTACACAATCTGTAGATATCAATTCATAAAACGATCGAGGTCAAACTGCTTTCTACTTGAGGTGGTTAACTGAATTAGTTTGAATGGGGAATGACAAAGACCAGTCCTTGAATGGAGTAGTTTAATTGGAGGGTCGAAACAAGACATTTAGGTTCATTTATAGATTGATTTAGTGCTCTGAACATATATTTAAGTCTCAGAATTAACTATGAAATGAGCCCCCACTTCCCTCCACCAAAAAAATAAACATAAGAAAGAAAAGAAAACCAGAAAAAATAAAGCTACAAAAACGACAAAGAAAAGAAAAATATAAAGAATAGCAAGCTGATGGACAATGGATTTACACTGACAATTTTTTTAAAAGAGAATAGGAAAGTTGCATTCAGATGAAAGAAGAGCTTACCTTAAATGTAAAGCAATATAAGGGCTTCCATTTTCACGCATTCTTGAGACTAAGGTGTTCCCCAGCTCTTCAATTGAAGCTGAGTATTTCAATGCTTTGTAGTTTACATGGCATCTCAGCTTCTGAATAGATGTAGGAAGTCCATTATTCGCAATTCGGGAATCAGTATGGGTGAAGTACACAACCTTGTGTTGTTTCAGAAGTGGCAGGACATCTGATTTATAGTAATTGACCTGAATATAGAAGCTAAAGCATCACAAACGTGTATTTAATGAGTAGAAACAGAATGGATCTTTCAAAGATCAGCATTATCCTTAACCTTAGACCAGGATATTGGAGTTATAGTAAAAGGTTCAATCTTTTCATATGCAGCTGGCAGTTTCTCGACTATCTGAACCTCATTCTTTAAGGTCTCAATAAAATGCTAGACCATAACAGAGTTTGAAGTAACTGCGAAAGAAGTGATGTGAACCTTTCATCTGCCCAGTAGGAGGAATGATCAAGTGAAGGGAGAACCAGCTTTGCCTTAAGGATATTAGCAACAGCAACCATGTCACAGATCTGCATTCTAACATATAATTTATCAGAAAATTATGGTAAGCATTCACGTGCAGCCGATATAAATCTGAAAATAGGAGTCAGACCCCGAATCTCATCTGATTTAGACCTCCATTCGCATTTATGAGTAGGTAGCCATTAGTGTTTACATCCAGCTCTGCACCAAATCCAAACCATGAAGCCAATAAAAGAAATTAGCAGAAAAAAATTCAGCTAATGTAGAATAACTTACTTTTCTGGTGACCCATGCGACCAATACACTGTGTGAAATTTTCACTGTTTGGCTTGGCCCATATACCTGAGAGCTGAATGAAACAAAAACTTGAACAGTTGAGCTACAAGCAGAACAAAGATAAAAATCACAATAAGATAAACATGGCTTGCCTCAACTGGACGACTTTGATCTCCACCTGTTCCTGATGATACAGTCATCAGAGTTCGTTCACTATCTCTTAGTCCCCTATGACCATGATCATAAGATGATTGAACTTGTCGACCAGAAATTTGGGTGACAGATAAATCCTAATAATGACACGACTATTAACACCTTTAATTTTTTTGAAGTCCATAAAAAATACAACAAAGGATTCGGAAGTTAAAATATTCACAACAAAAATAGTGAAGGAAATAAGTCTAGGTATAGAAGTTGAATACAAAAAAATGGCATTGACAATTATATGTTTGCAGGATAATGTCACGCATATATTTGAGAAAATTCAAAGACAAACATAAATTGTAAGTACCCATTACAACATGATATCTAGCTTCCAACTTCTCATGCAAACTTGTCTGACCAAAACTATTCAATAATTCATACTTTTGAAAACTACTCTTTAAATTGAACTTTTGAAAGCTTCTCAAAATGGTATAATAAGAACAAGTCCTACTTGTTAGATAAAGTAAGCACAAATGCAGGCTATACAAAACGCCAGTGTCATCAATGAGACATTTGTCGACATACAGCTCATTGAACTTTGAATATGTCTGAATAAAGGACTGGTTGATTGGTAAGACAAGTAAAACTCAGACAAACTAAGAACAAAATATTTGGAAAAAAGTTTCAGATAAATCAAGAAGCTATATTTGTTAAACATAATTATCAAGAAACATATATCTTAATCTATCTATATACTCATAATTTCCAAGTAGTATGCCCAAAAAGTGAAAGAAAAAAAAAGGAAACACCCACTGATGTTACTTAGGGCATCTCCAACAGTTTCTCTAAAATTTTCTTCAAAATGGGAAAGCAAAAATCATATTCTCCAAATTATTTTTACACCAACTCCAACAGCTTCCCCATTTTGAAGAATCTTTTTTTCCTCCAAAAATTTGGAGAATGCTGCAGATTTTGGGAAGCTTCCCCATTTTTTCTCCTCCATCTCTATTTTGGGGAATGAGATGTGGAATCTGTTGGACCAAAAACCTAACTAAATTCTCCAAAAGTGAGAAATAGGGAAGCTGTTGGAGATGCTCTTACACGAACCAGAATTCCATTATGTTTGTTAATTCTTTCCAATTATAAGTTTATCACTTTTCCTAATTGGTGCAAAGTGTCCAAGTCAAATCAATTGATTTACTCTTGTTTTGTCTCAATAGTAGCAAATTTTAAACTCTCAATTTAACTAGAAGTTTTTATCTTAAATGCAATTCTGAACAGCATCTCAAACATAAAATTCCAAATTTACCAAAAATAGAGACTCACCTGATAATCTCCTCGCCGTTCTACAATCCCATTAAGTCCAAGCCAACCACCATCAGAGATCCTTACAATCCCAATCACCAAGCAAACACTACAAAACACCAAGAACAACAAATTCCCAATCTTTCTCCTCTCTCGAAACCTCAGATTCCTCTGCTGGTTCACCTGCCACCTCTCTTCCGCCTCCTCCACCGCCGCAGCCTCCGACGCCGGAGATCTCGCGGTGGGGCTATCGCAGGTCGAGGAGGACCTCGGAGAGTTGATCTGGAGCTCGATATCGTGACTCCGGTCGCCGCTCGTCCCCTTCTTTAAGGACTGGCCTCGGCGAGTCATGCTGCCGGAGAATCTCGGGCTGCTCATCCCGCCGCCGTCGGTTCTGAGATCTAGGGCTAGGGTTTTGAGATCGCCATTAATGGAAGCTTTTTTTGTCTTTGCGCTTTTTTGGAGTTCTGCCTTTTTTGTGGGAGGGGGAGGAGGGAAGAGGGACGTGGTTTGGAAAAGGGCTTCGAGATTGGTGAATTTACGGAGGTGCCATAACAGGCCTTGGACGAAAGTGCCCTTGGCGGAGTTTGGCATTTAATTGTGGCATTAAATATGTAAGAAAACAGGCGTTGGGGATTGGATTGGAGTAGTAATTATTGCATGTAAGTAATTATTTTTTTAATTATTTGCCTTATGAAGTACTTCACCTACACAGTATAGATATATGTTCATTTTTGCGGAAAGGAAAAAAACAAGCTCATTACTAAAAGAGTGGCACTACAGGCACACTCTCCATCATACTCTTCACCATACCCCCTCTCCTGCTACAGTGCAGGGGGCCCACCTGAGATTTTTTAAAAAATCTCAGATGGGCCCCCCTGCACTTTAGCAGGAGAGGGGGTATGGTGAAGAATGTGGTGGAGAGTGTGCTTGTAGTGTTATTTTTACTAAAAACGTCAAAAAAAAATCTGAAATTTTATTACTGGATAGACAGCGCTTGTATGCTGCATAGTTTTGTAAATAAAATACGCTAATTTCTTACCTATTGGAAGAACAATAAATGAAATAATACTAATAACATTGCACGACAGAAATGCTTCATGAATTAGTATAAATGTTTTATCCAAAAACATCAAGATATTTAAATTTGTGACAATTTTATTATTTAAGAAAATCAAGATCGTTTGCCAACAAAGAAAGTTAGCTATTTGTAAGTCATGAAAAACAGCTATTTGTAAGTTACGAAAAAAAAAATCTTGAGAAAGAGAATGTTCACTTCTAATCAGGATTCAAAAACTACCAGTTCATCTAATTTTTTTAAATTTCAATTCTTTTTTTTTTTAAACTATGAAGGCTACATTATTACTGCGTTGTTCTTGTTTATATGCAAATATCCGGACTGAAACTTACACTATAGTGCAAAGAGATTGGATATGATTTTTATCATATTTGAATCAATATATATTTATTGATCACATATACATACCTGAATATATGCATGATTCAGAGAGAAAATTCATCATCACGTCCATCAAAAGGGAATACACATACCATCGAATAAGAGGGAGAGAAAAATGTACGGCTACAAGAGCAGATATAAAGAAGAAAATAACATTCAAAGTACTTATGCTATTGCTATGAGAGCCGTTTAAATAAAAAAAAATTAAATCAGAATTCATGGACAGGTTCAACATATCAAAAAAGTTATGATAAGATCTTTCAATTACAAATGTTTGATATCAAAGTCACTGACTTATAGCAATTAGTTTCAAATGTTTAAGCTGCACACATGTAATATACGAGGTATACACATTCACAAATGTTTTATCGAATGTATTATGCGTGCATATGTGACATTGTTTGGGTTACATACACACAGTTTTATCGAAGGTATTATGTATCAGAGGGTAAAGTTGTCATTTCAAAATAACAGGAGATAGGATCAACGTTATCCGACGGAGGTACGCAACGTTCTCGTGGCAGCGTGTCCAAAAGCAAACATGCAGCCAGCGATCCGTGACTTATAGAAACTGACCAAAATATCCCTATCATATTTTAATTGTTTCTTCATTTTATTTGTACTTTATACATGTTAATAGCCATATTCAAAGTAAATTTCCCCTTTTACCCACTAATTTCCACTGGCAAATATACTACAGCAATCTTTCATCTTATGAGGAGCATCAATAGCTTTTGAAGGTAAAAAGCCACTAAAAACCACTCAGACAAAAAAAAAGAGGGCCAATTGGTTACAAAAGAACGACCAAGAAAGAAGAAATGATACTGAAACAAAAGCACAATAATTTTCCCAAGCGCTTTTAGTTTTCCATAAATTGATGGTTAATAAACAAACTGAGACTGTACTTTACATGACGCAGTAGCTTTAATCTTGCAAACTTCAGAACTAGAGTATGAGCTCAAATGGATAAACTTTGCGTTCTCTTCAGGATTCTTCAAAGGCTCAAGCGTATCAAAACACAACAATGTCAATAGAGACTCACATATTTACAATGGCCTCCACTCGGTCTATTGATGCATGCAAGCGTCCGTAGTTCATATCAAAAACGGGTTCACCAGTGCCCACAGCCCTACACACAGAAAGCTCTATTTATCATAAAATAATCACGAAGCAAACCATGAATGAAAATTTGAAAACTGAAAGGACCCTTAGCTAAGAGAATGTATTCCAATTCGGTTACCATGGCATAAAATGAGGATATCTATTTGTTCAGCACAACTTATTTAGCAGTAAATGAAAGGGTAAGTTTTACAATAACTGCCATGATCTGCCGGAGATTCTGCATGAAACTACCTTTTTTTTGTTAGAAAAACCTAATAGGAACATGGCAGGTGATGTGTTTTGGATAATTTTGCCTTTATGTAATTTACGTATCTTATATATTACCCACTCCGTTCTCATATTTTGTAGTTACCAAGCTGCTAATATGATGTGTAGCAACAATTTCCAACAGTTCACGGTGCTTTTCCTGCAATTTTGAGAACTCGTAGTTTTCTCTAATAGAAAAATTTTTATTGTAGTTCCAAGAGAACTCCCCAAAAGTCACGACAGTCTTATGAAATTTACCCTAAATAAAATCAATAAAGTGAAAAGTTGAACTCAATAGCTCTAGTTTCGACACATTTGATATAAGCTAAGCTGACCTCATAGATGTAATACCACTGTCCACATTGGTGGTGCATCTATCTGCACATGACAACTGAAAGGAAAAAAAGGGATGTCTATGAGAATACCCCATCGAGAAAACTAACGCAAATGTCTTTCCTTGGAGTAGAAAATATCTAGCACCAACTATGGGATTGATAACAATGCATTAGGTTTGAACTAAAGAGTATATGTCAGAGTTAATAATATATAAAAGGGAACTAGCAGTTGTCAAATACAGGCATTGTCCCATAGGAAATAGGAAGATTTCTAAATTACTAGTCAGTTTCTGCATGCACCCTTTCATCTTGGAAGTAGCTTTTTGATGCATTAAGAGCACATACATATTATTCACGTGCACACACATATAAAGCACATGCATACAAGTCGGAAAAAGAATAAACTTCCAGAGAAAATCAGCATATAATTAATGTTTTAGTTAATCATAATATCTAATATCAAAGATGCCTCTTGTTGGAAATAGAATACATTTTCAGAGAATTATCGGTACTATAGAATAACTTTTTTATGTTAATCACGGTATCTATTACAAAAGGGACCTCTAGGTCTTAATCTTAAAGGACAAACTGGATGCTTTTTGATTAATCTAAGGCTTAATTGCGGTTAAATACCCTATAGTTTCCTCTACTTTGCACTTATACACACTCACTAGTATTTGGCATCTCTTATACACCCAAAAGTTTTTAAAACTTCCACGTATATGACCTCACTTGTTTTGGCAAAACTTATACACCCTAAGGTTTTCAATATTTGCACTTCAATACCCTAAATTTTTTAAAACTTGCACTTAAATACCTTTGAAATTATGAGCTTGAGGGTATTTAAGTGCAAGTTTTAAAAATGTTGGATATTTAAGTGCATAAAATCTTTCATGTATTCAAGTGCAAACTTTAATAACTTTAAGGAACACAAGTGCTGCCATAAATAAGTGCTAGCAAACACAAATGAGAGTATATAAGTGCAACGCGGTTGAAACTATAGGGTATTTAAGTGCAATTAATCCTTAATCTAAAACGACTGAAGAAAAGATTCTAATTTTTTACCTCTGATGTATAGTTTGCAATTGCATTATTATATACAGTTGTGTTTAGAGTTAATGGAAGTAGGAACATACCCATGAATCTCCGGAAGTACATACTCAGCCCTCCAGCCAATTCTCAAGTCGAATCCAGGGAATAAACCAATAGCCGTTTTATTTCTAATCTGCGAGATGCCATCACCACCCAAACAGGTAGAGAGCTTCCATTTCCAGCCAATTGTATTGTGATGAAAACTGTGACCTATGCCAACCTGCAACATAAGGAGAAAAACATTATCATAATTGACAAACCTGGAGGAGACAGAAAAAAAAGGTTATTTGGAATTAGTCCTTCAAATTATTCGTATTTTGATATCAGTCCCCCAAATCATTGAAATTTAAACTTAGTCCCACAAATCTTATAACTATTTTGATATTACTCATCCTAGGTAGTGGTTGTTTGATTTGGCATGGAATATTCCTTTTAACTTTAACTAATTTTGGAGATTAATTTCAAAACACTTAAAATATTTGGAGGGCTAATTTCAAAAGATGAAGATTTGGAGGACAAATTGCAAAATATGAAGGGAAACTAATTTCAAAATATGAAGATTCAGGGAACTAATTTTCAAAATATGAAAGATTTGGGCGCCTAATATCGGGAAAAAAACCCAGAAAACTATCACCTAAAAGATATATAGACACAAAGCACGTAGTGTGCCTAAACAACAAAAAGTACATAATAGCTACAGATCGAGAAAGGATAAGCACGATTATACCAAAAGCAGATTTGGTTTTCAGCCTAGATACCACCAATAAATAACTGTAGACTCCTAGTGATGTAGAATACAGGACTAATCTAAGTAAGACGGACACGGTGTTTTCGGTGCCGTGTCCGTGTTCGACACATGTCTGACATAGACTCTCCGCGGACACATGTGGTTCAAAGAAAAACCCAATTTCCCCATTACTTATACCCTAAACTTGTTATCTGGTAATATCAGGTTCCAAACCAATTGGTTTTTTAACCTGAAAATTGAAACTCATTACTTAAATATTTGAAAAATGCACATCGTACTATCCCATGCGGTCAAAACTAAACTTTTAATTGAAAGAAATACACAAATGTTATTGGTATTTCATTCAATATTTGATCATGAATGTATAATTGTATAAAATAATGTTAGGGGCACACCCCCTAACACACCACCAACCACACCCCCCTCTCCCATCGCTACAGTAAACCAGGCTCCACATGAGATTTTAAAAATTTTAAAATCCCATGTGGGGCCCGGTTTACTGTAGCGATGGGAGAGGGGGGTGTGGTTGGTGGTGTGTTAGGGGGTGTGCCCCTAACATTATGACGCCTAAGCGGTTTCTGGGCATTTTTTTTCTTTCTTCATTTAAGTGGTGGTCGATGAGGTTTTGCTGAAGGTCGAAGGAGGTAGTGAAGGTGTTCATATTTGGAGGTTAATGGAGTTTGGAGGACGTGTAGACTACGACACATAAAATCACAATCAAGGCCTACAGGGTGCAATCCACGTAAGCAGACAATGCTCCCCAAAACGCTCGTAAAATCTAGGTGGGCAGTCTAAATACCGCCTAGGCGCTAGGCGCTAGTTAGGCGGCCTAGGTGCCTAGGCCTAGACGTACGCCTAAGCGGACTAGGCGGAGGTTTTTTAAAACAGTGCCTTTGAGTTCTGCATATATACTCAAATGCCAAACTTCAAAGTCATACATCCATTTTATGCACTTATAAACCAAATTTTTCATAACTTCTCTAAGCATGACTTATCAAGAGATCTACTTGAGGCCATGAAGAACAAACACTTTCATTTGAAACTTTGCTGTTCTAGAAACAAGTATTAGACATGCACTTTTGCCGTTGCTCTTTGTGTAATTTTTTCTCATGTATTTGTTGCATTATGTTCTAATGCATCTATGTGCCCATGCATTTTAGGCTCACCATAACGAACCCAAACAAAAAACAAAAAGACAATGCATAAAATATCTAGTAGAAGGGTGTGATTATGCTACCAACACTAATGCACAAGATCCCGTTACACTTTTGCAAATAAGCTTAACTAGGCAAGAGCAACAACTAAAATGTATGACCTCCTTTTGAGCTTTGTTGTAATTGTTGTTATTCTTGTTTTATAAAACAATTAGTAGAAGAGAAGTGCAACTGTTGTAGTATAAAGATGTGTCCCTACATACTCCTCATAACCTTGAGTTTTGATTGGTGACAGGAACTTTAACATGATATTACAGCCCCATGAACTCAGGACCAGCTGCATGCGCCTTTTAAGAGGAATAATGAAAAATGTAGTGGTGCAAAACATAACTTCAGCTTACATAAAAACGTAAAATCTCGTGTACTAAAAAAGGACTAGAAATGAAAGAGAAGTACATAAATGCTTGAAGGTGGCAAATACCAGTCACTTCTTAATATGACAATCATCAGGAAACATGTGAAGTTAAAGAGGAGAGGGAGATCACAAGACAGATTGAACCAAGGAAGATTTTATACTCAAGCTTATGCTTCAATATGAACAGAAGCATGAGAGCATAAATTTTATATAAAAACTTCAAATCATAGGCTTTACAGCAGATTGAATGAAGTGAAATTTCAAATAAACATCGGTGTCACAGCCCATCATGAAACTTAAATCTCTCTACTTTCCATATACTTGTATTATTCTATATTTTATTGTACTCAAATCTTCACTAAGTCATCACTCGGTTGTCATCATGAAGGTACCAACACATAATCTTTTGACTATTTTGTTTTCGATTCTACTTATTCCTGCTATATAAATTAAGCCACAACTTAAATATTCCTCCAGTCAGGGACTAAAAAAATCAGCCACAACCTAAACGAAACCAGCAAGCAATAAGTCTTGCCTCTTAAACTTGATATAATAGTAACATACATGAGCTTTGGCAACTGAAATGCACTGACACAATTTGATATCTGAGAGAATGCTTAGTAAATACACATCGTGAAATAATGAGTAAGTAGCATAGAACTATATAAACTAGCATTAGTGGTTACATGTAAAACCAACCTCATAATATGTCTTTTTTGATACATGGATTTTGAAATTCATTATCCTTATCCACAATACTGAAGTTAAAGTATCTCATTGTCACTCTAGTATGGTAACAGATATATAAAATAGAGAGTAAAAAATGCATCAAACCTGGAGATTAAGGTACTTAGTTATCGGAATTTTTTTTGATAGCAATCGTATATCCCCATGTATTGGCTCGTATATGAACTTCCACCTCCTCTCAGGGCTCAGAGGCTTCAATACCATCTTAGCTTCGTATTCATTACTCTCAAGATTAAAGAACTGAAAAAAATGCAAATAATCCATATGGGACACAGTCAACACACTTAATTAGTTAACAATAAGGGCAACAAACAACATTTGCACTAAACATACTCTTTAAATAGCAGTCTGTGTACCAAACAATCTCTCTCCTACCCTATGAATTTCACCTTTTCATCAAAAATCCACTAGCAATCGCAACAAACTTACAAACATGTTCTTTTTAGTAATGACAGTAGGCAACTGAGTCGGAGCAGAATGACACATCGATTCAAAAACTTATAGGAGTATGTTTGGTTTTCTAATTCTCATTACTTTGCCCTCTCTCCCTTCTTCTTCATATACATTCTGTATTAATTTTCTGTAGTTAATAAATTATCTAGACATCTTGTCCCAGTAACTAAACCAACTTACTTTGCTTGGTGAGTTTGATTTACAGCTCATCAGTCCAGAAACGAAATCTATCTCACAATAGACCCATTAAAACCTCAAACTTGCGCAAACAATTAGAAGCAAAATCAAGCAAGAAATTAAAAAAAAACATTGGACTTTTATACACTCGTCCACATACCAAATGGAAATAGGTTTAGCGCAGAAGAGATGCAGTCCCTATAGCTTGAGATTTCTCGCTAATCAGAGAAGAACACTCATTTGCCCTGCCGATTTGAACCAAATTTTCTGTCTCAACCCACTATACCATATACTAAAGTTGACAGGAAAACGTGAGAAGCGTTACTAAGAAACAAAATGCTTAGAAAAGCCGTGCATTTTCAAACAAAATGGTTAAGGTTTTTCCCCCCATACTAATGCGGCGTCATCACAAACTGCAGATGGTTCTTTTTTACTATAAACTCAAAGTTTTACCCCCATTTATTTTTAAACTCACTTATTTCGAGTTCTTTGTCTATAATCTAATTTTTTTAAACCAAATATTTAAATCATTATTTACTGTGGCGTTTTTCCAACTAATGTCGTAATGTCGCAACATCGCATGGCTCAATTTTACTCATTAAATTCTCTAAATTGGGCAAATAATTAGAAGCAAAAGCACGCACTAAAAAGACAACAAAAAAAAAAAAGATAAGATTTTTATGTTGCTCTCCTCCACACGCCGAACGAAATTGAGCATATCGCTTGAGATTTCTCACAGGTAAATTATTATCACAATTATGAAACAAGAAGAGGGTTTTGGGGATTGAATTGGATTGAATACCTCAAGATTGAGGCCAAGTCTGAAGCCCTCGATCTGTTTGCGGAACTTGAAGAAGAGCTCCGATGGGATGACGTCGATCTTGTAGAGATCCTCTATCGATGATGAGGAAGCGTCGTTGTTGTTTTCATCCATTATTATTGTAGCTGGTGAGAGGGAGATGAAAAAGAGAGAGGGCGGCAGCTTGATGGTTATAGAAGATGAAAGGTCTTTTTCATATTAGTCCCCGAACTCTTTCTTAACTTTATATTAGAGACCCCTAAATCGTCGTGATTATGATGGGAGTTTCGCACGTATACCCCTAACACCTTCTATATTTGCAAATATATTCCCTAAATCTTAGTGTTTGCGAAATTATGTTCCCCTCATATTCTGTTACATTGGGTTTTTTTAACCCTCTAACTAAAATAATATTGGCTTCTATGTAGGATAATGTCAAAATTTTCCAATGACTTATAGTAGAATTGCAACATTTCCTATTCAAGAGCTAGAGCCATCAGGATTTGGATCCTCTCCACTACAAAAAAGTAGTGGAGAGATCACTACTTTTAATCTCAATCGTTGATTATTTAGTAGGCGGTTATGATACATTCTAAATCTAACACTTACCATACCATCGTGTATTGCACACATTCCTAATTTGCACTAAAAGAAAAAATCACAACCATTAACTAGATAATCAATGGATGTGATTATGTAGTGATCACTCCACTATTTTTTTTTTTGTAGTGGAGAGGATCTGAATCCGAGCCATCAAGTAGAAGTAGGGGCAGAAAAACCCAATCTCAGAGAATCGGAGGACAATTTACAAATACCAAGATTTGAGGAGTATTTTTGAAAATATGAAAGATTTGAGGGTTATATATGTAAACACCACTTTTATAACTTACACCCTTAGGGCTTGTTTTGATTGAGGGGAATGAGGGTGAAGGGAAGTTAGGGGCACTATTCACCTCCATTCATCTTGTTTGGGAACACTTAGGAGGTGAAGTTAATTCACTCTAGTTTCCCTTGGTTCATCCCCTAATAGTATAAAATTTGTTACTTCCCAAATTGGGGTGTAACCAAGGGGAAGGGAACTCCCTTCCCTTCCCTTCCATTCCCTTCCCTTCCCTTCCCTTCTCTCAGTGTCCCTTAACTTCCGTTCACCCCTTACAAATCCAAACAGGCCCTAAGTCTTGTCCCCGTTTCAAATGGAACAATGCCCGGTTCGACTCGGTGGGCCGTCATCCACAACCCAATCATCTCGGCCCGGACCACCCACAGAGTATCAGTACCTGTACCTCTCTCTCTCTCTCGCCAAAACCCTGAACCCTCACCGATCGGTAACCTTACCTCCCTCCTACTGCTATGCGTCTTTAACTTCCGCCACCATGACCTCCGGTCCCCCGAACTGCTTCTCCTCTATCGTCGCCGCTTGACGCCAGCTCGCCACGTC